GACCCAGCAGCCCGCCGAGACTGCCGGCTCCTTGCTAGAAGCCTGCTCAGCTTACACACATCCGTACCTAACCTGCAACAGCTTTTACGCTTGAAAGAGATACCCTTCCTGCCTCCAAGAGTTCTGAAATACTGTAGAGGACCTCAGCTCCTCGCCCTGTCCACAGGGAACTGCTGCCCGAGTCTACTTCTCTTACCTGACCACGCTTTATTCCGAAGTACCGGGCCACCGGATCCCCGGCCTGTATCCTCGGGAGCTGGTTCTCTCTCAGCTTACTGCGCCGGGAGTCAAGGAGAAGCTCCCCCAGCAGAACACGCAGCCCGCCCAGCTGCCCGTTCGTTAGCACAGCTAACGGAAGAAAGCAATAAGCCGTCGCACGCAGATGCGTTCACTTCCAGCCCAAAGCGAGCACGCGTCGCAAGCAGGCAGGAAGGGCAAGAACAAACAAAGGATACTATCTGGCCAGTAGCTCAGTCACTTCTTCCTTCGTCATGACAACGTGCTCCGGGACCAACTGTAAACAACAGGGCAGAGAGACGGTCAGAAAGCCAGAGAAAGCGACTGGCTCCTCTTGGTGGCGGGAGAAGCAACACGTTTGTAAGGAAGAAAACTACGACGGCGTCACTCAGCCCGGCCTTCCAACCGAGAGAAGGTCTCTAGGAGCAGCCCGAGCCGCAGGTCGGCACAGAAGACCCACCGTCCCGCCCTTGCTCCGCTGCCCGACACTGCTCACCTCGTGTTCTGTGATGTTGATCAGGAGCTCCTGCTGCAGGAACTGCTCCAGGATGTACTTGGGAGCCATATCTACCAGGGACTGAAAAGGGAAAGGCCTGTCACGGACGGCCGCGCTGCTCTGGGACAGCCCTGCCTGGGCTCAGATCTGCTCCTCGATAAACACCAGTCACTGCAAACGTGGAATCACCACCCTCGCGCTCACACAGATACAGCTACGCAGGCAAAGAGCGCGCGGATCTCTTGACCGCTGGCAAGTATCCTCTTTTCTCTCGTCAACCCCCTGGCTGCTGATGGGCCATCAGCTCTTCTTCTGGAACCAGAACCAGCTGTTCTGGTTACGTACGCTTGCACGTTAAGCAAGAGCCCGTGTTAAGGTACAACAGGCTTTAGCGCAAGATTTTATCGGGATGGAAATCGTAGGCTTTCGCTAATCTAAAGCAGCGCTGAAAAACAAACACGCAAAACGTCCGTGGTCCACAACAACCCCGACTCGGAGGCAGCCGCCTTGTACCTGCTTTGCCGAGGGGGTCATGCCTTGCTGCACCACGATCAGCGCTCTGGTGATGTTCTCCTCCTGCATCCTCTGGCAGTACATCTTGATCGTCTTTATCCCCACCTTGGGCTCCTCTGGGAAGGGAGGCAGCCCCGG